GTATGTGTTACTTACTCTGGTATTTGTTTTGGATAGCAAGTTAAGCTATTATCAGAGTAAGCATGGTTTTCCTATGAAGCAATAGCATTCCATCCATATTAAAGTTAAATCTGGTAGTACAGTAGTGTTCTGTGCTGCTTTTCCTCAAGATTCACAGTTCCCAAAATAGCTGTGTCCTTTGTAAAGTAATGAAGAGGATTTCCGAGTAAGGTTAAGGTAAGCTGTAGCATATTCTCCCAGGTGGTACGAAATACTCTGGTTTTAAAAAGATCACCTCAATTAAAAAGCTTCTAACATTATTCCTTAACTGTGTGATCATGACAAGACTCCTAACCAGGTAAGCTTTGGTCTCCTCAACTGAAAAAGAGAATAGTTATATCTTTCTTTGGTGGCTGCTGCAAGGATTAAATAAGGTAGCAGGAGTAAACAAGCCAAATATGGCACCTAGTGAATAGAAGCCACCCTATAAATGTAACTTGATTCTGAGCACTGTCATTCTCCAGAATCTTACAACTTCAAGATGAAAGTTTTATCACTGGTCCATTCTTTGTAAGACACAATTAACTATCATGGCAGCAATGCAGAAGTTCTTCATCTATTTATTTTTTCTTTCTTTCAGGTCCCTTTCCCAACATGCTGCGAGAAGTTGAGGTAGAGATCATAAGTAATGACACATGTAATCAAGTTCATGTGTATGGTGGTGCTGTATCATCAGGAATGATATGTGCTGGATTCTTGTCAGGAAAACTAGATGCCTGTAAGGTAAGAATAGATCCAAATCCACAAAAATGACTGTTTAGTAGGAATGGCCTTACTGACCATAGAACAGTATCATTTCACATGACTGCATGAAATTAACCTGTAGAGGAGAGTGTAAAATGAGGGAGTGGAATAATCCTAAGACATAATTCTCATTTAACACCCTATTGAGGAGAACTATCGCTAAAACGTGGTCACCAGCTGCAAATAGCACTCTCATTAGAGAAACATACTGAAAGCAGGTAGTAGAAACCAAGTCAGGAAGCCATACAATAATTGCTTCAAGCCACAATCATAGCCAGTAGTTAGGTACTAATCCCCACTAATTGCAAGGTACCGCAAGATGGGACCTGCATCTACATCTATGACCAGTAAAGTAGCATCTCACAGGTCCCACAGGTACCTAAGCCATTGACTTTAAACAACATACTTCCAGACATAATTATGCTATTAGAAACAAAACAAAAAAGTACGTATTTATCTACATTTGTTCAGGGTAAAGTGTTACCTCACAGATCACATTTAGAAACTAATTCAATAAACATAATCATTAAACATTTTAGGAGAATATAAGTTTTAAATTCTGGCTATGTAAAGGAATAAAAATAAGCAAATAAAATAATAAAAGTTTAAATTTGTAGCATTTGAAACTGGAACAGTTTAGTGATTTTTTGAAGAATTAAGAATGGCTTTGAGAATTTGATATATATGTGCACTTTTCTTATATGCAAAGGTGCCGCTGTTGATCTGCCATTGGCTGTCTGTCATGTGATGGTAATAAACATATTCACTTATTCATTCCATTTTTTGTCAACCGCGAGATACTGTAGCAGTTACTGAAGGAAGCATAAGCATTTGTGAAAATCACAATGAATCCACAATGAATTTACAATCTAATAATATAGCACACAAATAATTCAAACAAATAAATGAAAGGCGAGGGCTTGGCTACATATTCTAGAATACAGGGTCTCCCTCCACTCACTTTCCATCATGAGGGGAAGGAGAAACAATGTGGGTGGTCTGAGATATAACTAGATCACATGGCTTAAAAGAGAAACCCAAATAAATCTATATAAAAGCAGATCTCCCTTTCCACTGGTTCATATACCCTTGCTTCCTTTCACTGCTAGCATAGTGAAATACCAAGGACCTAAGTTAGGATGTGGGCCTAAGGAAAAGGAGCTAAGGAGGAGTTCTTCTGGTGGACCAAGGTTTTCACACTCTGTCCACCGACTCTGAAGGAGGTCAAGAAGTATGTGAAGAAAATGGAAGGGAAGGGAGCTAAAGGCACAAGACTCTAGAAGCCCATGTCTTCTTCAAACAGGATTTTTTCTCTTGTTTAAAAACTCTATAATGGGCTTCCACATAGTATTCTTTTGAATGAATAGGTACATTGTTAAAAGATCAATTTAAAATCATTTGTCTATACCAAGGTTTAAAGATAAGAGGGAAGTCCTCATAACTTTAGACCAGTCCGCTAGGGTTAGGGATTCCACCTTAGTTTGGGAGCAGAATATGTTCAGCAAGAAATAGCGCACATTTGCATGGAGTGCCCCTTGCATATGTTGCTCCTCTCAAACCTACTAAGACATAGTGATATGATATCCAGGACATTTTCCTGTCAATTAATGTGAGTGGAATAAGATGAGATTCAAATTCACAGCCAGAGACTCCTTCTAGTTAACAGAAACAATGATGGAAGAGACACTAGGCATGAACCTGGGAGAGGCTTATGGACAAGGTGACTTGTTTATTGAGTCTTGAGGTTATCATTTATGTAAGACATAGAAGAACACAGTCCTGTGTCTTAGTTAATCCTTCCTAGTCTCATGCCCAGTGTCATAGAATTTCGTTTTGCTCTGTCTAAACTAAAACTAAAATTTTAGACAGCAAAACTAAAAATTGTACAAGGGTAAAATTGAAATCTTAGCTTTATTCACATTACCTTGTATCTGAACGCATTAACAGAGAGTAAATAATAAGCTCAATTATCATATTAATACTAATGGTAAGTAAAATACAATGATTTTACATATTTTGATCCAAGGTGTTAGTGTATTAGACATCCAGATGCCAATTAACCCATTTCTGACATCCCTTTATTTATCAAATTGATCATATTGTTTTCTTCTTCTTTTCCAGGGTGATTCTGGAGGTCCTCTGGTTATTGCACATGATAGAAACGCCTGATACCTTGTTGGAATAGTAAGCTGGGGGATAGACTGTGGAAAAGAAAACAAGCCGGGACTCTATACCAAAGTGACTCATTATCGAGACTGGATTAAATCTAAAACTAACATCTAATGCAACAATCATCTCAAATCCAAACTATAAATGTCATGTGTGGTCTCTAGAAAATTGTGTTTAGTGTGTGTCGCCATGTGTATTATCTTCGAGTTCAAAATCCAAAAAAGTGTGATCTAATGACTTTCCCC